ATTCCTGCTTTTGTATATGAGTTTGGTGGCTTTGCTGACATCTAATGGCTCTGGAACCCAGCAGGGTGCCTCCATTTTGTCATGCAGATATCATGTTTTGTTCGTTGTTAGTGTTTCATTGCAACAGAACTTGGACTTCCCAATTACTTATTAAACCCTTCTGTTGATACTAACTCTTATATTAAGCTGTGGAGGGTAGATAGAAAGATCATAGGTGTAAATATTCAGTCCTTATTTTTTGTTCTGTTTCCAGGAATGTCTTGTGGGCTATTTGAGGGTGGGGAGAAATTTGCTTGCTGGTTTGCTTTTAATGAGGATGTGGGAAAAAAAAGGCTTTTTTTAACACTGAAGGACAATTCAGGTGGTAAATGTTTCAGTGGTATGCCAGGTGCCTAGATGAAATATAGATCAGCAGAATTATATATTAATTTCTATGCAAACTTGCAAATAAACGTTTTTGCTGATGGATGAATCCTTAAATACTGGATGACTATGAGATTTTCCTGTCAGCATCATAAACTGACTTAAAAAAAAAAAAAAAAAAAAGTCCTTTGTGCTTCACTTGTTCAAAGCAGTGCTTTAAAAAGTAAAGAGGAAAATAGTATTTGCTACAGTCAGCAGATGGTTGTCACATTTTGTTTTCAGTGCTCTTTACCACTTAATTTTGTTTTGTTGCGACAGGAGAGGTTGCCAGTAAAGCATCTGCTAGAGCTTATGGCTCAGGACTGGAGCTGCTGCTGATGGCATACATTCAGAATAGCACTAATCTAAAATAAATGTTTAATAAGCAGCCCACAAAAGCACCTGGAATTTGTTTTGTTGTTGTTGTTTTTTTAAATTCAATTGATGCAGAAGAATCTTCACTAGTTAAAAGAAAAGAAGATAAGGCTTTGATTTATAAAATGTATGTGACTTCACGTATTAAAAAAAATGCAGAGTTTAAAAATCTTCTTTCCTGAATTCCAGCTCATCAAGGTGCTGTACAAGACCAGCCTTACCAGCTGCCAGTGGAAATCGATCCTCTCATAGGTCTGTCACTTCCTTCTCTCTTTGCGATTCATTAAGCTCTGTATGGTGGCCCTGAAGTGTAGATTACGGTTGTTTTTCACTTGCTGGTTGCTGGGAATGGAATTTTCCTGATAAACCATTTGCATGCAAATTGGAATGCAATGAGCTGTGGCTATGCTGGTATTTCATCAACTCCCCCTCGTTGGTTTGCCTAATTTGAACAGGCCTAGGACGTGTGTCAGTGAAAATTAATATGGATGCTGTAATAATGTGTGATTGAGAATGTGCATGAAGTACTGTCAGGATAATATTGGATCTTTTCATCACTCAGACTTGTTGATGAGCAGGAGCGAGGCACGTTATGATGAATTGGTGCACTAGTAATGTGATGGAGCTCCTTTGCTGAGGAAATTTTCATAATAACAGTGGGGTTCTTAACTGCACCGTGTTGTGAAAAATAAAACCATGGTGCCAGGGTTTCATCATTAAAGGAGATCAATCCTTTCTTCATAGGCCTGCTGTTCAGGCTGAGGGGATTAATGTGTAATTGCAAAGCAGTTTCAAAGTTGAAATATATTGCCCACTCTGGTTTAGTATTGAAATATTAGTATTCATTTTTCAAGGGTATTGCATCTTTTGATCAGCATCACTAGTTAAATTTGTGCATGGTTTTCTTTTATTAAAAAGGGGTGGAGGAATGTCTTTCTTTTATTTAATGACTCAGTGTAACAGATTCAATTCATGACTTTTTATTATAGAGGTTTATTAATTTATATAGAGCTGATTTTTCTATTAACATGGTCAGAGTTTGGCCAGCTCTTTCATTAAAGACACAATTTTGGGGAGGACACACTTGGCTTATCATTCAGGAACCTTTAGCGTAGCAAATGGAACTTCAAACATGACCAAAAGAAATCCTCAAACGATCAGACTTAAAAATGCAGAGTAGTTGTAGGACTGTTCACAGGAACAAAGAAGACAGGGTTCTGCACCCCTGGCCCACCACAATTCTATTAGACTTCAAACCTAACTCTGTTTTTTAAACTGTCCATTTCAGGAAGGTAGTATAAGTGAAAAAGAAGTGGCCAATTATAGAAGCATGGAAAAATCAGATAAAAAAATGAACCTGCCTGGACAGGTTAGAGTGACAGGTCTGTCAGCCAGTGAAAATTAATTTCAAAACTAACATGCATATCACAGTAGGATCTGCATTGTATCTGTCTGTAGAAAGAGACTGTTGCTGTGTAGCCATTTTGCTGGCTAAGCTCTATGATAATTAAATCAGGAATGGTGCGGGCATATTAAACCAGCTGATGTAATGAGAAGGACATTGTGCTATAAACTCTCCTTTCCTTCCTAAAATAGATTTTATTAAAAAAATGTTTGGAGAGGGAAATGCTTAAATGAAACATATAATTAATTAATATTCATTGAATATGTATTGGTATAACCATTCTACTTTAAAAAGTGCTATCAAATAATACTTAAAAATATGCATAAACATCACAGCAAAAAAACCAAAAGCACACTGGGCCTGTCTGATGTTTTTCCTACATATTGTGAAAAAACATTAGGAAGGAAATACTTTTTAAATTTTCATTTGTATTTTTCATAATTTGAAATTATTTTTCCATTTACAGGCTTGCATTTTATTTACAAAATAGACTTTTGTTTGGTATAGATGCCTTTAAATTAATGTTCACAGTTCTGGAAAATGGTTAAATATTCTCTTCATACAACAGATCTCAAATCAGCCTAGTGATCACATTGGACATAGTTTAAAAGGTTTAAGGCTTTCTTTGTCACTCTTAAGTAGCATCATTGTGTACAAGCAAGTAATTATGTAGATAATATTAAAGATTTTTTAATTGTGGCTAGACACAATGGAAATGGCACCTAAGAGGACCGCAAAATTGCACTTTTATGGTTATAGCAGGAATCTTGTTGCTGTCTTAGTCATAAGAAGGGATTCCTGCAGTCTTCATTTTCCAGAAAGATGAAAAACAGCAATGCCTGATAGAACATAGATCCTGGACCTCTTTTTGAGGTGAAGCCTTTTGAAGCTCTTATCCACACTGAATGTGTCAATCTGTATGTTTTTTTGGGGGGATTATTTGCCATTATTTTGTTACACAGAACACTGCACTGTGCATTTATAATGTGGTGGTTTTATGCTTTGAGTGGTCCCAACACCGGTCAAGGCCCCATTATGTGTTACCTGCAGAGCAAGTGGCAATACTTTGCTGAATTATTTGCTACCCAAATGGACAAGACAGTATCAACATTTTAAACAGTGAAAGCATAAATAAGTTCAGGATTTTAAATAGAGTAAATGGAATAAGCCCAAGGCTTAGAGAATAGCTAGCATGTGAGATCGGAAAAAGTTAAAGAACAGGGAGTAAAGAGCAGCAAAAGACCAGGACAGAGTCAGGTTCAGGGAACCACATGGAATGAAAGTAATGGCACTCCCAGAAGCCAGCAGACAAGCCCAGGTCCAGGGAGTCAGGTTCCCTCAGGAACAAATTATGTTGAAAGTTCTTCCTAGAGTGTAGGATTTTCATGGTATATATCTATAGGGACCCATATGTGTGTATATATATGTGTGTGTTTATATATATACACATATATATACACACTCACACATCAATTAATAAGGACAAGATGTAATATGAAAAATGTGTTTGTTAATTGATTCCTGTCCATTCTGTGTGTTCACAATGCAAGATTATCTGGGGAAAGAAAACAGCAGGTGATCAAGTAGGGTAAATATTTTCTCTCAACCCTAAAGAAGATTGTGAAGATAAGCTTGTTAATTTTTGTGCGGTGCTCAAATGATATTGATGTTTATTGCAGTTATTATTTTCTTAAAATTTACATTGCTTGCAATGAAATACAACTTCTGTACAATTTTGAAATCCTAATTCTGTTGTCTGCTACATTTGAGCCAACATGTAGCATATATGTAGATGTACTGCCTTCTCTTAATTTATATCTCAAATTTTAATTTTGTATACTAGAAGAAAGGGGGAAGGAAGCTTATTACACTTCTATGTATCATTCCTTTTGGCAGTCTTTCATTTATATGTGTCAGCTACATTTGACTTAAGGAAGGGATTTCTTCTGTTTTAGAATATATACTAAGAGGAATTATCTTTGGTCCCAGAAGTGTAATGGGTATTTTATAGTAAAAGTAGAAAGAAAATGTCACTGCCACAAAAAAAACCCACAAGTAACAGCAGTGAGGTATAGTTTCGGTATAAACGTAGATTTCTAAAATGTGCTTTTGTTCTGTGAATATGGAGACTAAAATTTCTTGATTTGTGTGTTTTCTGTTCAGCCAGCAATACAGGTATGCACAGAAGGCAAATCACTGACCTTTTAGACCAAAGCATTCAGGTACATTCCCAGTGTTTCGTCATCACCTCTGATAATCGTTACATCTTGGTCTGTGGCTTCTGGGACAAGAGTTTTCGTGTTTATTCTACTGACTCAGGTAATGTTATTTTAAAATATGGGAATAGCCTAAAAGGTTTTTCTGTTCATTGTCAACCTACTCTTTCAAATAAAGAAAGAATAGGGAGCGAGGGAAGAAAATGGAGTATGTATTTATTCCCATATTAATAATATTTGTGATTTTTTTTCTTATCTACTGCTAATGTGTATTGTGTGTTATCGTATTTGTGGAATGATGGCAAATGTAAGACAAGGAGCTCTTGTTTAGCCATCACATCACAATTCAAATCTGTATGACAGACATGCCTGTTCTTACACTGTAGTTTCCAGAAGTAAATGAGTTTTTGTGAATTTTTTTTGCATACCAGGAGAATTAATTGTTCCTAGAGTGTGTACTGGAATTTAATGCTGGTTGGTTTTCAGCACCAGCAAATTTTTTTTGAGAAAATACAGGCAAGCACCACAGAATAAAAACAGAAGTGAAGTCGTGAAATCTGCTGAATGAATACCTATGAAAGCCTTTGAAAGCTAAGCTATAATAGAAAAATTGATTTGGAACCACTGAATTCTTTCATATAACATAAGCTGGTCGACGTAATGAGCAACAGTGAGATTAGCCTGTCAGCTGGCATGTATCCAAACTGTTGAAGTCATGCCTGTGTCATGTTAAATAGAAAAGAATCTTTCAGTGTAAGAGCTACAGGAATTTAAAAGCCATGGAGCCCCAGAAAAGAAATAAGTAGGATTTTTTTCCCTTTCATTATCTTATAATGGGAATAGCAGTCTCACTGCAAGGTAGTTCTTTGGGATTAATGACCCGGTGTGGTTAATGTGTGTGTGCCATCAAGCTTTCCAGTAGGTTATTAATCCCTAGAGAACATCCTCCATGTTTGTCATAATTTCTTAAATATATTAAATAATAGTGTTTTTCACACTTGACAAAACAAAATGTTTAACAAAACAGGATGCTCTTTAATGATATAAAACTAGATCTCGTGGCATATTTTAGCGTATCTGTCATTTCTGCATCTTCAAAGCCTTTTCCATTTCCTTCATATTGACTGCCTACAATTAATGATATAGACATCTTGTTAGACCCCTTAGTTTAATTTTCTCATAGATGAAAATATATTTACATGAAACTGTGAATTTAAAGGAGATCTTTTGAAAAGTTGGATAGTGGTATTACATACTCAGTGTCTATTTTTTATTAGTATGAATAGAGAACTGATTATTTTATGTTGAAGGATATATTTTACTTTACACCTATGGAAAGAATTTGTATGATTTTGGTATCTGTATCCTGTGCCAATCTCAGCTGCAAATATCTCATTAAGTTTTTGTCATCTGTGTGTTGGATGCAACAGATATGTCACTACTACCATAACTAATTATGGTATAAAGCAAAATACAATTGTCAAAAAAGTTGCAGAATATGTATGTCTTTTGTGTGCCTCCTGCTTGTCAATACAGCAACTCTAGCTCTGGCTTAAATCAAATGAATTCAGATGTAGTTTATTTTGCTTTGAGTTAAGATGAGAGTATAGTAGTGAAAGACTCTGAAATTGGCAGAACACCATGGGAAAAAGATGATGTGATCAGTAATACCTAGCGGCAAGTGATCACAAATGTTGAATTCAGTTCTATTTTAGACAATAGGGAACCTTTTTTCCTATTAGATTTTGGGTTTGTTTGGGTTTTTAAACAGGAAATACTTTAAACATAAATCATGGATTGTCAGCACAGCTAGTATAGCAGAAGCACAATAAAACCTTCCTCCAGCAATGGGAATGATTTCTAGACGGCATTCAGATTCAGTAGTGCAGAGACTTGAGCCTATTTTTCTTTTAATTATTCATAGCACAGCTGTCAAATAAGACATTAACTAAAAAATGTTCTGTTAGAGATATCTGAGTGCGTATGGTAAAGTTTGATATTACTGTATAGAGAGGACAACTCATATTAAAGGACACAAAGAAAAAAGTTTATGAAGTTTTATGACATTAATGATTTTTTTTTACTAATATGAAAGAGCAAAAACCTTATTTCTTGTTTTGATGCAGTTTATTGAACCTTAGCTGCACAGTAACAAAGTAAAACTAACAAGGCAGTGCAACTTCAGAAGCAACTGTCAAACAAATAGCCTTGAAAAATGTTTGTTTTCTAGAACAGAATGTATAAGCATAGAATATAATTGAAAGAGAGTTGTCTATAACTCAGCAATATATATAGCAACTTGTGTTCTAAAAGTATAAATCACCTCAGGCAGTTGAATACCTATGGCTATACAACTGAGAAATACATTGCATAATTAAATTATTCTCAAATCTAAACCATGTAATTGACAACTTGAATTTTAAGGGAGCAGCATACGCTTGGTAAGATATTTTTATATATTGCCAAGATAAGGTTATTTAGTCTGTGAGTGTTTCACTGCTTCTAGCTGTGAAGTTCAAGAACCTTTTCTGACTAAATCTGTGGACTGGTCAGCCTCTGAGACAGGGAGGTGGCCCTACAGCACAAACCAAAGACCTGGTGTGCAGAGGTGACCACTACAGAATACCATTGCAGACTTGGAGGGTTGAGTGAAAGACTTGATCCCTGAGTTACTCTTCTTCCCAATACAAGATAGAGCTGTACAGTAAGTCTGCCTTCCAGGCTTTTGCCCCTTCCAGTCAGAAGAGGTTCCTGTGACAGTACTTGATTTCAAAATTTGTCTTGAATGATTATACTTGCCTAATAAGTTTTGTCAGTGTTTAATTTTCAATCCAATGTACAAGTTTCCTTTAAATTGCATCATGGTATTCTATTTTTTCTTCATGTACTAAAATATGTAATTCCTCTTTTTTGTAGATATTTATAGATATTCATACCTTTCTTGTGTTGTTTTTTTGGTTGCTTTTTTCCTGGTTTTCTGTGCCTTAATGCAGTTACTACACTTCCTTGTGTCTTTGGGTGCAGAATGGGCCAACTGGGCCAATAAGACAAGTGTGTGTGTATCTCTTCTCTTGTCTCTACAAGATCTGCAGTTGCTAGGCTTCAGCAAATCCAATGAGATGGATTTTAGTGCTTAAATTCTCATTTCATAGTAACAGACATCCAGAAACTGGCAGGACACATGTTTGCTGTGTAGGATCCAGCCTCTGGCAGGGGGGTCTGGCAGGGATCTTCTGTGGGTGACCTTACATGTGTTTCCTCTCCCACCTGCAAATCTACCATGCATGAGCATCCAAATTTACATTTTTTCTGAGAATATTGTCCTGTTTAGTTAAGTTTAAAAGGCAATAGTCATGTTTCATAGTTCATGTCTATAGAGACTCTTGAATAGCACATTTTTAATGGCCTAGGCCTTCCTTTTTTTTTGATGTTTCTATCTCCTACCAGTGCTACAGGTGTTTGTCCTATATGCAATAGGGAAGAGTTTTTTCCAGATCTCTCTTCTGAGGTTCTTTGAACATTACAGAAATTCTTAGAAGTGGACAATGCTAGTTGAAATAATTGGCAAATGTTTAAATGGCAATTGAAAAACCTTGATAGAGGAGTAATTTTTCATCTACATTTCCTTTCCTCTGTTTAAGAAGACGCTCAAAAGCTGCATATGCTATATGCACATACATGCTCGCATACTACCAGTTTATTTTGGGTCCTAATGTTCTGTAGGATCTTGTGATTCTGTTTCCCACATCATCATCATATTTACATTTTTAGTGTTACTTTCATCAGTAAATATACCTTAAGCTTACCTTAAAGGATAATCCTATCATGTTTCCTGTCTGTAAAGTGAAAGTAAACATACAGAATTAAAAAAAATAAATTCTGCAATGATTGGCCTTGAATAAAGTATAACACTTTTGGACTGTAAATATTTTTTGTGTGGATTACTGCACTTTTAAATAAGTTTCCACCACAGAATATTTCCACCATAGTTATTTTTTATTTTATTTTTTTAAATAAATGAAGTATTTCTAAAATACTTCATAATGTATGTTATTTGTCTTGGAAAGAATCAAATAATATTTTTAAAGCAATCAAATTTATGTGTTTCAGGTAAATTGATACAAGTAATATTTGGACACTGGGATGTTGTAACCTGTCTTGCTCGTTCTGAGTCCTACATTGGAGGAAATTGTTACATTCTCTCAGGATCGCGTGATGCAACGTTGCTGCTCTGGTACTGGAACGGCAAAACCAATATCATTGGTGATAACCCAAGAGGTAAGGAAAACCAGAAAAACCTGGTTTGCAAGGACGTTGCCTAAAAATGGCTTGAGTGAACACTGTGTGACAAAGTTTTAGGTAATGTTAATGTCACAGTACAATGTTTCTTTTTGTGTAGTTGTGATTAACTCTAGATTAAAGAATTGAGAGTAAACAGTGCTTGCTTTGCAACACAAGTAGAACTAATTTTTAAAGTTATAGGATACTGGACTTTGCAAATACATGTTTTCCTGTCACTAATTCAATTGGGAAAGACTGGCTCCAGGAGTGAGAGAAGGGAACTAGTTTTTTATATTTCCTGTTCAGTCTTTTTCTCTCAACATGATGATTTCATTAAATACCTGCATTTGAGTTGTTTAAAACTGAGAAGACTACGTCGCTCCAGTGCAGACTGTGTTCTGTGCAACTGTAATCTTACCCATCTAGGCTGTCACAGTGGCACCTTAGCAGCCAGTGAATTTTAGCTTGGGCTGAGGTCGTTGTAATGAGATGTGCAATGGCCTGAGCCAGACACTTAGGTGAAAGAAGGACAGATACGTGGGATGGATTAAAGCAGCAAGGTTAATACTTTTTTGTTTAACACTTTTGGTAGGGTGCTACGTGCCTAATCCTCGCTCTCACGTACGAGGCATTTTAATTGGTTCCAGTGCAAGCAACAGGGCTCAAGCCATATAACCAAACTAATAAGTCAGAGTAACCCTGCTCCAGTCTAATTCAGTTTTAACCCCTCCCTACCCAAACTCACCTTGCACTTCCCAAAGAACTTAATCTCTTCCATCTTCTGACATTTCCCAGGAAACCCCAAATCTTTTTACTTGTGAAGATTCTCTCTTTTAAGGCATAATTTTTTATGGAAGACAATGACGTGCTATGACTGTTCAGCCCTGCTGTGCCTGCATTATATATAACAGGAAAGGTAGAAAGGGTTCTTGTTATTATGACAGTTTCACTCCACACAAAAAATTAATTCCTGATGCCCAAAGCAAAGAAAAAGGCAGACACTCAGCTTGACAAAAAGCCTGAGTGAGTCAGTTCGCAGGAGAAAGAGCTTTTTAAGACAGCTGGTTGAGAGCTTACGTACGTGAATAGAGGAGCACATCACAGCCAAACAGCAGTCCAGTTCTCCCTGTTCAGCCAAAAAAGATTTAAGAGAAGGTGGTGAGAACCAGTATATTCCATCTATTTTCAAAAGTGTGTTTGTTAGATTTTCTGCCTTGCACTTAAGGTCTTACCTGACCCTGTTTAAATACCAGTAAAAACATACCTTCTGTCTGCAAAGGACAAAATGGACATCTGGAAACAGGAAGTTTTGCTATATCTGGCATAAATTGCAATTATAGCTGGCATGCAATTTTATATAATGTAAACAATGCCTGACATCATCCAGATTAATCAATTTGGTAAAGTTGTGTGTTCCATACTCAATCTGGAGTTACCTGAATTTGAAAAAAAAAGCCTAGTTTGATCTGCCACACATACGTGAACTATTTTGAAGGAGCGCAACTAATTAATATCAGAATGAATATCTGAATTTAACTGGCAAATTGTTGAATGTTGACTGTGAAAACTATTTAAAAATTGCTCAAGATACAGAAGTTCTGTTCACACAGCTATAGAATCTTCAGGCAGAGGAAGAGAAAGAACGAAATATTCCCATCCTTTCAACAGTCTTATTCAAGAGATGGGAACTTTTCTGGGTTGTGGCTAGAAGAATTTTATAAACATCTTTAAATAAATATGGCTTTGGTTGAGGGACAAAATCTCTGTGAATACTTTACACATATTTTGCAATCCATCAATATAAAGAAAATGCAAATGCTTCACTGTTTTTGAGAGCTTCACAGTCAAGTGAGCTGCCCTTTTGAGGAGAAAACCCTCAATATTTTACTGATGTAAAGCAATCACCGCGTAGGTGTCTCCGTACAGTGCTTTCAAGGCCTGCAAGTGCATCCCATCTTTGCAGATTCCTAGGCCTGACCTAAGAAATTCATGTTGAGCCTTTGCCAGACTTGCCTGCTTTGGGAACAAGACCTTGAGGCTGCAGGCTCCATTATGAACTTAACAGATCACATGCTGAGATTTTGTACCTAGTATCTAACTAGAATAGTTAGATTTTACTGTAATCTGATTACTGTTATCTCTAATGCAAATTTCTAACATATTGGAATTTCACAGTTTTCAAAGTTAGTGCTAGGCTATTTTTACTACTGTTTAAAATCAAACAATAGCTACCTGGTAAGTCTCTTTGTCTACAGTCCTATTAAACTTGTACTTTTAAGGACATGCAATCACTCCTGTGTTTTCTAGTTGCTATTATGTAGCTTTGTTTTTTTATATAGCACGCCTGGAATCCTTCCTTGTGAATTGGAGTCTCATGACACTGTACATAGGCCTGGACATGTGTTTAGTAAAAGATGGTCTCTGCTTCCATAGTAAAAGACTGTTTCTGCTTCAAAGAGATGGTAATCTGGGGGGTTTAATTTTTCCCAGAAATAGCTTTCTGTAGACATCTCTGTTCAGTCAAATTTTTTTTTGAAAAGGCAAGTAAAAAGAGCTGTTTCTGCTTAGTTCTGATTTTGTCACAAATGTAAAGCACCAGCATAGTTGTTGAGTTTTGAGCTGTTTTAGTACAACTGTACCTTCCATCCATTTCTGGGATGCTAGATATTTAACTTGTCTGATGTCTTTTTGTATTTGATTTGTATTCTTTACCTCAAAATATAGTTTATTCATTCTCGCAATGAGCACTATTCATTGGAATTTTAGATACTCTCAAAGTTGATACTTCTTTCCTATTTTTTCCTCTCATTATCTCTGATTTCCATCTTAAAATGACTTCACAGCAACATACATCCAATGGCACTGTACCAAACCATGATGCCAGAGTAGTTTCAACAAAAATAATCTAAAATGGAAGCATTTATTTCCTCCTTTCATAGAATCTGTCACCTCCGATATGCATCAGTCAGCAAACTAGTATGATCAAGTTACACTACATGCTGTCCCATTGGGCACCCATTACTCCACCAGTTATATTTTACTTAGATTATTTATCTGGTTTTGTTACTTTAGGAAGCACTGAGCTCTTGATCTCTGGCTGCATATATTCATGTTTTAGACTGCTGCTTAACTCAAGCTGACAAGCCAGGTGGGCTATGGCATATGCAATACATTGGTCTTTTAATATTCTTTATCAAGGACGATTTTCTGGCCAACTGGATAAATGGAAAAGTTCTTTACATTTATGGTTTAACAGAAAAATGATGTTACTGAAATATTCATTGTTCATATTCTTCAATTTTTAACTTTTAAGGTGACTTCCTAAAGAAATTACACCTATGCAGTCTCACTGTCTGCTTAGTTTCTCCCTAATAACTCTCAAATGCATTGATCAGTGTAAACCAAATTTGATGAATTTTAATCTTGAAGATATGGAGTTCTACATGGGACACATCTGCTGGAAACTATTCTTGTTCTTCGTAAACAGCTTGATTAAATTTAGGTTAAGTCCTTTTTTCCTTCTCAAATTAAAACCTGAAATTCAGAAACTATTTCACCATGCTCTTTGATCAAATGTAGGGTTTTTTATTCCTGAATTAATTGGTTTTGAAAATGTGGAAGCATGGCAGTACTTCACATGGGTGCACAGGCCTTTTCTGATGCAGAAATGTTTCTGTGGACAGTTTCTGAGAAGCCTAGGAATAATTCAGAACAGAGCAAAGGATCTGAAGTAGTTGTATCCTTTAGAATAGCCCTGAGCCTTTTTGAGTTCACATTAATTAGCATAATTTGCTATGGAGATGTAAAGTCACTTAGGAATACTGTAAGGTGCTTTTAGTTTTCTGTCGGTGGCATGTGGCTTGCTTTGGGGAGGTGAGGGAGGTAGGAGGGAGAGGATGTAACCCTTCTCTTGATACCCCTTGAAGCCCATGTGTGATCTGTATCACAAGGATGGCTTTTGCATATTTAGAGGCTCTGATCTGCTAGGGGATGTGACATTATGCTTCAGGACTTGTGGACCTGAATGGGGTGGTAGAATGTGTAGAGTTTACTGGGACGAGAGTACTGGGTTTGTTGCCTTGGAAAAGTTGCCTTGTTTTGCATTTGCCCAGTCTCATGTGAAAGATGTGCAGGGGAGGTGAGAAGTGAGGGATGAGGGGAGGAACTACCCCTGATGCCTGGAGAAAAGAGATGAGAGAATTCATTTGCATACAAATGGTGTGCAGCCCTTTCAGATCCCACTCTAGCTTTGAAGCTCAAGTGGCAACTCTTAGTGTGTGGACATTTCCTAGGCTGAGGGATTGCATTTTACTTTGTAATCACAGAACCATAGGAAACAGGGTGGGCAGGAGCTTTGGTCACCTGATCTTTTCCTGAAGAAGGCTTGAGTACATTAAAACCAGTCTCAAGTGGTATTTGTCCATTCATCTGTTAAAAACTTAAGCAAATATGTTTTTTGGGCCTGAGAATCCCTGTCATTAGCAGTCTTTTCCTAGTGTTCAGCATCGTATCCAGTTGAATTCTATCACTTCTTATATATTTATCTTTTATGTAGAGAACAAATTAGTTATTTCCTCCTTGCAACAACTTCCAGTTATTTAGATTACCCTGACCTGAATTATTTTCTTCCACATTTTAATAACACTTTTTTTTTTCTATAAGTCATATTTTTTTAGATCTCTGATTTTATTTTTTTTTGTCCTTGCCTCCTCAGCTGTCTTCCCCAAAGTAGACCCAACAGTGCTGAAACCTTGCTACAAATAAGTAAAAAAACTATTTACAGAACAGTACTTTTCACAGGGTATCTTTTTGTTTCAAAACAATGTGACAGTGTTCATTCTTTAGGTGGGTGAATCAATATAAATTCCAATCTTTCTGAAGAACCACCATGTACTCAGCAGTTTCTTCTCTTCTATGTAGTTTGACTGTGGAACATTGTCTTTAATTGTATCATTTTTAAGACCGTTTCTCCAGTCTGTCAAACTCATTTTGAACTCTCATCCTGTCCTCCAGTAGACTTGTGGCAATGTATGTCTGCAAATGTAATATGCAGTCATATCCTATCAAATT